TTAGTTGACTGATACCAGAGCCATAGTAGAATTGAAAATTTTATTGCTAAAATTTAAAGGGAATTACAAACAAAGATTCTTGCAATAAGAAAATAACAACACAAACATAAAAGTCACCTTAGGGAGGGCGAAAGTGGCAAACACTAGCTGGACAATTGGTGGGTGGCGGGCTGGGAGGTTGCGACAGTAGCAGGTGGACTGGTGAGGGGTTGTGGCAACAACAAGAGGGCTGTGGTGGGGTTACTGTTGCAGGGTAAGGGTGCTGTAAGGGATTGCGATAGTAGGGTGGAGTACTGGAGGAGTTTGGCGGCAACAAGGAGGGAGCATGGAGGGATGTGTGACAATAGACAAGGTGGTTGAGGCTCTTGGCAACAAGCAGAGAGAGTGAGGGGAAGGGCTAGATGGTGGTTGGGATAGCAGCAAAATTCTGGTAGTGCAATTCCAATCGAGGAGGCATCAAATCTGGCTGCTGGGATAAGGTTGGGGAAGCGAGTAAGGGTAGATAAACACCACCTCAGGACAAATTACAGCCGGAGCATCTTCTCGCATTCAATTACAACCCTCAAAGGGGAAAACTTGGTTGCTGACAACTGCTTTGATAGAAAACTCAATCAAAATTAATCCTAAACAAAGAAAATGACATATTTATAATACTAGATAGTAAAGAGGAATTAGGCGGCAATCCTAAGCTAAATAATTGGGTCAACTGACCCCCCTTGCCTCCATCCCTGAACCGGTCTTGTCTTCCCAGCGGGTTGGCCCCGATTCAGCTGTGTCTGTCTCTCAAATTTGGAGGAGCTTTGGCCTCATTCGTCAAAGCTTCTCACCGCCCATTAATGTTGACTGAGTTGCTGTAAGCTCTTGGGGCTGACATTTTTACTGTGATCTGAAAAACACTTGGATTTCACCAGCGACTGCATCGTCCCCCAAAACACCTAAGGATTTTTCCCCACTTGCGAGTATACATCCATATCGATATGCCCTTTTTGGGGTCTCCTACTGAGCTGAGCCGGGTCTGCGTGTCATGCGTATACCATTGAATCCTCCCTATATATTCCAAGATCGGCTCAACCTAATCTGAAATGAGGGTGACCTGAACCTCCCCAAATGGTGGTGGTCATGACGGCGTGATGTACTGAAATTCTCCCAGTTGTGATCGTCCCGTGCGTAGATTCAGTGTCTTAGTCTTATATTTCTTTGTCGTCACCAAAAATAGTTTCACTGACATTGCTTTACTGGCATGGACACTTGTGATCTTGGGCTCTGCCGAAGAAAGGACGATGTGCTTCCCCTCGTTGGTGAAGTAGTGGTGTTTCTGAATCCGTCATGCTGAGCCCTACAGTCAAATTTCCAATATTCCCTAACAAAAGGTGGAGGTATTCATGGGTACCATGTCACGCTACATTTGATCCTGCAGCTGTTTTCCAATCGAAAACTCGATTAGGAATCTCCAGTCAATGCTGACCTTGTTCTCCTTTTTCAACTATGTCAGATACTACGGTTGGGAATCCCTCTGAGTCATGAGAACAAATTTCTCCACCATCTGCGTAAATGCCATGTTTTTGCTGCTCCTTTCATTAATAATGAGACTACATACCTTCCCATTCATGGTGTAACTGGTTTAGAATATATTGTGGCAGAATCACTGCGGATCCCTTGTATCCTCAGTTTGTAGGACTCGTTGAACCACGAGTATCTCACCCTCATCTGGTGGAAGAGAGGATACACCTCAAACTATTCTTTTCCTGCCTCCTCATTGTTAATCTCTTCTACGACTCTCTGCTCGATAAAAGACAGGACTCAGCTCGTCAGGCAATTGGAGGCGATGTGCCCAAATCCATGAAATCTAAAAACATTTTCGGGTGTGAACTATAGTAGGCGCGCTATTTTTCTTGGGCTTCTCACTTGGGGTGGCTCTAGTCTTATCCGAACTAGTTTTCTCAAGCCCTGAGACGCTGCTAGTGTCTCCAACTGTGGATGACTGCTTGGCTAGTGGTGGTTGTCTGTTCTGTTTTTGCTTTTTCTCCACCTTCATGGTTAATGTTTGGTATCTCTCAGTGACCAAGAATATTTTAGCTGCACAACATTACTGATAGCGAGCTTCAAACCCCCTGATAATGGGTTATGGCGTGTTCCTATGACTCGACCAACCCACATTTCATCTACAAATAATCAAACTGCCTCGTGAACTCCTCCACTAATAAGTCTCTCTGTTGTAGGTGGAGTCTAAGAAACTTATTTCAACGATAGTGAGGAGGTAGGTATTTTTTCTGCATCGTCTTCATCTTCTCTCACTTCGTATTCTTGTTATTGTCTTCTCTTTTTCTCCGCCTCTGCAAATTTTCCCACCACAAGGAGACACTCCTTCATAATTTGATAGTTGCAAGCTTTGACCTTTTTTCTTTTGGCACTTCTTTGTACTCAAGATCTTCTCAACTGATTGTAGCCATTTAATAAAATTGTCTGGATCCATACCTCCATCGAACTCTTGTAGATCTACCTTTTTTCTGAAGTTCATGTGTCCTCCATATGTGGTCTCCTCTATCGGCCTCCTCTAATATTAGATTCCAAAGTGTTGTGGACTGTCTTCTTCATCACTGAAATCCTCCATATAGAAGGGGTTAAAATTCTAGTCTTTTTCGACCCTTCGACTTTCTTTGTCATGATCAAGGTTAATTTTCCCTTGAGTTTCATCCTCCATGTCCGTAAGCCTTTGTTGAAGTTGATGGATCTATCGTTGTATCTCTTCTTGGGTAGCTCGGGCATGTATCTCCTTGGTGGTATGGTTAGCATTTAAGGTTGGGAGACGAAAGAGGGTGTATGTGACTAATTGAAGGTGTAGTATAATTAATTTGGGTAGCTGATTTTGAAAATCAGCAAGGGGAAATTAGGGTTAGTCAAAATTTGCCCATGGTTTGAGAATATGAAAGAAATTTTTTTGTGGAGGGGGTAAGTCAGATGCTAAGAAACTCTAAGATAGGGTTATTGGTTAAGTTAGTTTTGATACCAAATGAGCCCAAACCACAGTAAAAATGAAAATGTTATTGCTGAAATTGGGAATTAAAAACAAAGACAATTGCTATAAGAAAATAGCAACACAAACATAAAAGGCACCCTAGGATGAGGGCGAAAGTGGTGGAAATCCGGCATGACAACGGGTGGGTGGCTGGCTGGCTGGGAGGATGCGGCAGCAGCAGGTGGATTGGTGAGGGGATGCAGCAGCAGCAGGTGGGCTGGTGAGGGGCTACAATGATGCGGCAGCAGCAGGTGGATTGGTGAGGGGATGCCGCAGCAGGGTAGGGTGCTGTAGAGGGGCTGCGGTAGCAGTGTGGAGTGCTGCAGGAGTTTGGCGGCATTGAGAATGAGTGAAAATGAGTGAAGTCCATTATATGTGAGATGGTTGTCGTATGAAGACGAGCTCTAGTATAAGGAGAGATTTACTGAAACGAGAACTTGTCCTATAACAATACATAGAATGATAAAGTACTAAGCAACACCTGAAGGAGCTTTAAAATTTGTTTACTCATTAAATCAAATAGCACATTTCTAGAAGCTATTAGATTTAGCTTGAAGACTTCATCTGGCACGATCACTTGGTTAGTTGACTCGATATATGCTGGTTGAAGAGTTATTCAGCATCACACATTATCATCTTTAATCTGAAAATTATTTAAATGTTTCTCAGCATATTCTATAAAATAAGTTCATTCAGCATAATAGTTTTGAAATAAATACTTGGCTTATAACTAATCATACTCGGTCATATAAATTGCTGGATAAGTAAAGATATTCAAATCAACTAATAAGCATTTGCAGCAGCTTAAAAAAATCCAACTTTATTTTATAAATACTTCAATTCCAGATTTTTCCTGAAAGGATTTTGATTATATATATATATATATATATAAATATAAATAGGAAAAAATAAGCTTAGTATGTATAGTTTGCCAAGCTTATACATGAATTATATCTCTTCATGTCACTTTAGTTCTATTTCTTCTCTTAATTAATTTTTTGGCACTAATTTTTTTACCCTAGTAGGCACATTTTCTACCTTCTATTGTACATGTTCAAACTACCTAAATCTATTGCTAGTTGCCTTTTCCTGAATCAATGCCGTTTCAATTGCTCTTCTAATATCATTATTTCTTAATTTTTTTTTTTAATTTTCGCACACATTCATTTTAACTTTTTCATTGTTATCTTAACTTTAGCAATCAATGATTGTTTTTATTATTCAACACTCTGATCCATATAACATTGTTGACATAATTATAGTTTTTTAAAAGTTTTATTTTAAATCTCCATGACATTCTTTCTTGCATAATACTTCTAAAAACTTCTCTAGTTTAATTCTCTACCCTTAACTCTAGAAGTTATTTTCATATCTGTCTTCATTATTTCATAGAGTAGATCCAGCATGATTAAATCTAATATATTATATGTATCATTTTCTTAAAAATACCTTTTTGAGGTCGGCAATTAGATTAATCTATTCTGGTATAGAAAAATCTAAGTTAATCAATATGTAAATTCTTTGGTGAATCTTCATATTTTCATATCTACATTTAATCTTTCCTTTCAATGGGGGTTTAAATTTTAGTTCGCTTTTAAAATCTAAATTTATTTTTTAAAGTTTGTAATCTAAATTAATTTACCTTTCGATGAGCATAATTGATTTAATTGTCTGAACTGTTGATTTATCAGCTCTTGTTTTGCATTTTTTGTTCTTTTCTGGAGATTTGTTTGTTTTGTGTGCAGTTTCTTTTTACGCAATACTTTGGCAAATCCACTTATTTTCAATGGATGCTCCATTTATTCACAGATTGTCATTATTCGTTATTGGTTTTACTTTCTTGTTTGGCAGATCGTTCTCCATTGTCTTGTGCTTTTGTTTGCAATTTTGGGCTCGGATTTGTTCTTATTTTTTAAAATTTTAATTTGATATTGGCGGATATGGATAAGATTTTATGATTGACTGACATGATGTAATTATCCAGGAAATTCATAATCTCATTGTCAGGCTAAATTTCATTGAGATTGAGATACTAGCTGCTCATTCACTTGAATCCTGGGGTGGAGGAGTTTTGGTGAATGTGACAGGTTTTGTGCAAGTGAGAGACTTTATTTTCAGGAGGAAATTTGTTGAGACCTTCTTCCTTGCTCCGCAAGAGAAGGGATACTTTGTTCTTAATGATATTTTTCTCCTTCTTGAAGAGGAACAAGTTCATCTGCCCCCAGCAGCAATTTTAAGACCTACCGATTATGATACAAAATTAGATGCATTGAATTATGACACGAGATTAGATACATTCAATCATTTACAAGATCCAGGTAAAATAAACCTTGTTATATGTTAGTTAAATTGTGTTTCTAATAACATGACATTCAACTGTTTTTATCCTACATCTTTCTGCTATTAAACCTTTGATAGAGAATTTTCCATACTCTTCTATGATTTCATGTTTCTCCCTGCTAACTTCATGCATCAGCAACTGGCACTTTCCATGACTCGCTGAGATTAGTTAGCGAGTTATTGAAGCGATGTTGCATGTTTTCTCCTTTCGAATTACTTTGATTGTTGTTTATTATTGACTAAAGTACCAAAATGGTCTGTTGACTCTTTGCAGTGTGTCATTTTAGTTCTAGAGTATATAGAAGTGTCATTTCCCCAGATTTTTTTAATGCACTGAGATAGTCTCCAGTCTCTTTAAAGGGAGGATTATTTCGGCCACTATTAAAAGAATTTGAGGAATAATTTAGCACTTTTATAGACTCTGAGACTAAATAGCCCCATGTAAATAGTTAGGGGATCGTTTTGACACTTTACTTTCATTTTTATTGCTTTGAATTGATTAGTCTCTTTAAGATGAATTTTGTTGATTGGAATCTAGACTTCTTGGCCTCTTTGTTACTGCTGTTGATTTTGATGCTTTTCATTAGGTCTTTTTTTTTGTATTCACCCCCATGTTTTTCCTCAACTTTTATGTTCTTTATTTCAAGTCCCAATGCTATTCGATTCTTTCTTTACTGTTTCTTTTTCTCTTGTTCAGTCATTCTTTTGGTAACTTGGGACAGATATCTCATACCATTTATGAATCTTATTGTTTAACTTAGGGATTTTTGTATGCACTTGAAATGTTTCATTTCTTGTTGATAGACCATGAGTATATTATTGTAGAATATGTCATTTTTGTATTTAATAAATGTACATGCAGATGCAATAGTCTTCTGTTTTTTTTTGTTTAATCTAATTAACGTCTTCTGTAGTTGTTCTGAGCTTTGAATTATTTAGTGCAGTGTCTAGCTATATGCTTGGGGAAGATATCCCAGCAAGAGATTTTATCTCTCCACCTGTACCTGCTGATGAAAATAACCAACTTGACAATTACAGTGTTCCTGGACATCGAAATCAAACGCCAGATCCCAACGAAACTACTGATGAAACTCCCATAGAACTGGCTGGCAGTTCAGTTTCGACTGTGCAAAACATTGTGCAGTATCCAGCAATTACTGAGGAGGAGCCTGCTGAGGAACGGCCAAAGCTTTCATATGCATCCATCGTATGTGCAGCTTTTTAATTCCCCTGATTTTTACTTTTGTGGGTGTTTTCAAATGCCTAAGATCTTTAATCAATATATTCAAGGAAGTTTTACATACATTCCACTCAATTTTGATGTATATACATATCTAATGCTCATAATTCACAAGGAAGTTTTACATACATTCCACTCAATTTTGATGTATATACATATCTAATGCTTATACTTCAATTTTTATATACAAACCGCCTTATCTATGCATGAGAAGGTGTATTTGTCTTTTTAAAAATGGTGGTATTTTTGATGTGATACGATAGATTTGGGTGATATTATTGTATAAAGTTTTGGTGTTATATATGTCAATACTAGGAATTGGGTGGTATGCATGTAAATCCCCCTATATTCAATTATGAAATTACGTTAAATTCAACAGCTGCGAACTACAAAAGCTCAAGTTGCACCACAATTAACATCGGTGAACAAGACAGCTCCTAATTTATCAGACTGGCATCCTGCACAGCAGGCAACTCAGCAACAGGTTCAAGCCGCCATTTCTTCTTTGCCTGATAAGTCCAACGCAGACTTACCAGATGAAACATTTGCTTTTGAAGATGAAGGTTAGTTTACTTGGTTGCAGTATTCTCTGTTTTCAAATTTCTGTCATTTTAGTACATGGAACTTGCCTGTCAGTTATTTTGGCGGTGTTTCTCTAGTTGATATGATGCTCCTGCTTTTTTAGTGGAAGATTTACATACATACCACTTAATTCCTATGGAAGATTTTCTTCATCCATTTCCTAAGGTTAACTCGACTTCTCTTTTTTTGCTTTTTTCATTTTCAGTACCACTAATTTGTTGCCATATTCTTCTATGTTTGAGTACAACTAAATAATAGGTTTACTTGGGTGGAAGCTGATTATACTAAAGAGTAAGAATTTTATTCAGAGTATGAATAAGATATGAATATTGGAACTTGAAAAATGATAAATAGATCACATAAGTAATTGATGTGCTAGTAATTTAAAGTTTAGCCTCTTTTTTTTAATGTTAAACTTGACACTATGTCCATCTTCATCAGAATTATAAATAAAATTAGTCAAAATAAAGATACAAACTACGCATCTCACAAAGAAAAATTCCAAGCATAAAGGTGATTGATGTGATAGTGCAAACACTAAGCTAAATTCAAGAACAAGAACAACATTGAAAAAGGTTTTGGTTTCCCAACTTATGTAGCATATAATATTATGTGATATACTTTCATGCATGAAAATTTGAGCAATCACCAATTTCTAGTTGTCACTCAAGCCACTAACTATTTTTTATTTTTTATTTACCGAAAACAAGCAAATATTAATCTTTATAAATAAAAAATTTTAGCATGAATTTGGAATGAATAGTATAAAAAAGTATAAGAATTAATTTTCAAAATATCAGATTTCCAGCATATCAATTTTTAATAAAAATCAAGTGTATGATATCAGCCGTTAACATATTAGAAATAAATACAACAACAAGCCATTATCCCACTAAGTGGCGGGTCGGCCGAATGAATCCTTTGTCTCCATTTTGTTCTATTGAGTGCCATATTTTCATTTAATTTTAATAAATTAAGATCATTTTTTATACAACATGCCCAAATCCTTTTTTGGTATACCTTTACCTAACATAAGTCGAATCTTAAACATCTACTCTGCTAACTGAATCAGCAAATGGTTGACGTTTAATGTGGCCAAACCCTCTAAGGCAACTCTCTCTATCTTGTCTGCTGTTGGAGCTACCCCAACCCTTTCATGGGCATATTCGTTTCGTTTTTTGTCTCCAAGAGTCAAGCCACTCATCCAGCTAAGCGTTCTCATCTCGACAACATTTAACTTAGTTTTATACTTCTCTTTTATTGGGCAACATTATGCGTTATAAAGCATTGCAGGTCTCACCACCATATTAGAAGAAAGAATTAAGAAAATAAATTTACAAAAGAAAAATTATCCAATAGTTTCAAAACAAAAATTGGAATTTCTAAGTGGCTGGAGTTGTGCTTCATGAAAATAGAAGTGGTTGGTGCTTGTTTGGACCATATAGCCGATGTCTTGTAGAAGAAAGAATTAAGAAAATAAATTTACAAAAGAAAAATTATCCAATAGTTTCAAAACAAAAATTGGAATTTCTAAGTGGCTGGAGTTGTGCTTCATGAAAATAGAAGTGGTTGGTGCTTGTCTGGCTTGAATGATAATTGGTTGATGTGGCATTTTTGGTGGTTAAGGATGTTGTAAAGCCCTCCTTGGACATTCTCTAATACTAAAAGTTATTTTTATAAGCCTCCATTTAATCATCTACTTAATTAAAGCCGTCGAATAAGCTTTGGCTGTCACACCCAAAGATGACCAGTTATGAAATTTTCAACGTTCTCTTTTTGATCGTATGACAGTATAACACCAACATCAGCTGTTTTTATATATTTTTACTCAGGACTTCTAAATGTCTCTATTTCCTCAAATTCTTCATTATTATTTTAAAAACTGGCTTTTTAAATTTTTCTAGGATATACTTAATTTACCTTTTATTCCTTTCCATGTATTTGATACTTCAAGATTTTTTTTTTTTGGAAGATTTACATACATACCAATTAATTCCCTTGTATTCACATATCTAAAGACTAAAGTTCAATTTTACATATATGCCACCTTATCTATGCATGAAAATGTGCATTTCACTTTTTAGAAGTTAAAATAGTGATATTCTTTATGTGATATGAAATATTTTAGTGGTATAAATATAAAAAGTGAAGTTTTAGGTGTTAGATATGTAAATACATAAGAATTGGGTCGTATGTATGTAAATACTCCCTTTTTTATCCCTGCAGTTGAATCAAAATCCGTTTATGTGGGAAACCTTCCTGCAAGCATATCTACTTTTGACCTTGAGCAAGAGTTCAGGAACTTTGGTAGAATCAAGCCTGACGGTGTTACCATTCGAAGCCGGAAGGTAATTTGCTTCAAACTTTCATTCCATCAATAATCGTCATCATCTCTTGTCTATATCTGGGTTCGTTTTACTAATCCTTATTCTACATTCATTTTTGTGGAGATCTATATTGAGGTGTCTACTCTTTTGCGTAATTGTTTTTGGATAATTTCTAGTGATATTATGATTGATCTATCCTTTTGTTTTCTTAATCAGTCCATATTAATTCTACGAAGATTTACATACATACCACTCAATTCCTTTGTATTTACATATGTAATACAAAAACTTCAATTTTTACATGCATGGCACCTTACCTATGCATGATAATGTCTATTTTACCTTTTAAGATTCAAGAAGGTGGTATTTCTAATTTGTTTTGAAAGATTTGGGTGTTATAAATGTAAGAATTGGGTGGCATGTATGTAAATGCCTCTTAATTTTTTCTCTTCATCTTGCTGGTGCATGTCCTATCTTTCTCTCTTCATAAATCAGCTCTTTTTTTTTTTTTGTTATTTTAGGAGGCTGGTGTTTTCTATGCCTTCATAGAATTTGAAGATGCTGTTGCTGTTCAGAATGCATTGAAGGTTTGTTAATTTTTTGCTTTTCATCACTAATCAGGGTAGCTTTCGAATAACTTTGCAAATTCTTTTAATATATATATGGAAGATTTACATACATACCACTCAGTTCCTATGTATTTACATATCTAACACCTAAACTTGATTTTTACATACATGCCACCTTACCTATTCATGGAAAGGTGTATTTAATTTTTTAAAGTTATAAATTTTTGATGTGAAATGATAGATTTGGGTGGTTTTTTTTTTCTTGGGTGTACGTATGTAAATGACCCTGTATATATATTATTAGAATATTTTAATTGCTAGTAATAGCCATTATTTAATTCTGATTATTCTGAATTATTTCCTTTGTTTTTCTTCCTCTTTCTATTATATACAGTTTTATTTATGTCCCTTTCTATTATATCATGAGTTTAATTTTTTCCTTTTTAGTTGATCCTATAATGGATATATATACCCACTCTTTGTATCAATAAGATGTATTCTGGTTCTATTCCAACGTGGTATCTGAGCCATGGTCCTAACCTAGGCTACTGAGAATAGTTTTGCTCCGCTAGTCTATCCAGATCTGTTTTCTCCCTGTCCAAATCTGCTTTCTCGCGCCAAGAAACGCTGCTCCCCTGTTTGCTTCTTCAGGCATTTCCAGCAACTGACTCCAACAAATTCTCCGTCTTCTTTTGGCGATTCCAACAGTTTCTCCGTCCTCTTCTGGCGGTTCCTCTAGCAATATAAGCACAAAATTCCTCTGTTTGCTTCCTCTGTTGATTCCTCTAGCAATATAAGCACCTACCTTTTTCCCAGTCGTTGGATAATCCTCTAGAACTGCCGATCTGGCATCCCTGCTCCAGGAAACTTCCTCCCAACTACCAGAACTCCTTCCTAAGAGCTCGGTCTTCCTCCAGATTCACCGAATTTCCTCTGTTCCGCTTGCCAGTGCTTATATTTTAGTCGACTGAGGGTTTAGTCAAATTAAAACTTCTTCCCAAGGACAGAACAACCATATCTATACCAGAATCTTCCAATGTCCCATCAACCCGACATTTTGTTTGGCTTTGTCGGGATTATGAAAGACTTCTCCAGCAATGAACCATCATCGGAAAGGGTCCTTGAGTCCACCGGCGGATCAATTCTGAACTTTGTTCCTATGCAAACCGGAGGATAAGAAAACAACATGAATTTCTTGATCACAACTCATAAATTAAATGAGTAACTTTCTCCAATAGTGCCAATTAGTGTCTTTGTTCATCAAAGGACATGGGAAATATAATTATCTCATTGGTATGATATGTGAACCTCCAAAGACTGACTTGGTGTATGGAGCTTGGGAAGTGGAGAATTTCATGTTCATGTCATTGTTGATCAACTCCATTGAGACTTTGATTGGCTGATCATATATGTTACTTCCTTACGCTAGTGCCCTCTGGAAGGCAGCTTGTGATATTTACCCGGATGTAGTGAATTTCAGCCAACTATATGAGGTGTCCAAGAAAATTTGTGAAGAAAAACAAGGATCCAGGACTGCGACCCGATACTACAGTGTTCTAGTTGCATTATGGATGGAATGCGCCTATATTATGGCTACATTTGAGAATCTTCAGCTGACTTATCTCTCTTCCAAAAAATTGTAGAAAAAAGATTGTATATTCCAATTTCTAGCAGGCCTCAACAAAGATTTTGACGAAGTCCGGGGACATACGTGGTCGAGATCCTTTCCTTCTACTCACTCTGCTTTCACTTAGATTAGTCACGAAAAGAGTTGGAGACTTGTCATGCTTGCTGCTTCTACCACGTGTGTTGAAGCATCCAACTTGGTATCTAATTATTCTCATCCCCGGGTTGGTCATCCCACGTGTGCTTATCGCCACAAGCCTAACCACACTTGTGAGAAGTGTTGGAAGCTCCACAGCAAACCTACATCTAAACTTTCAACCAAATCTTTCGCTGTCAAGGGTCTCACCATGACATTTAATTCCAACTCCGTACTATCGACCTCTACCAAAAACAATCTAGAATCCTTCAATTCTCTTAAGAGTCAAATGGAGCAACTAATCAAGATGCTTGGATCCAACTCACTCTCTTCTGACCCGTCAACCTCCCACGTTCGTCAATGTACCAATCCTATAACACTCACTTCTTTTGCCCATTCTAGTTCATGGATCATTGATTCAGGTGCAACTATTCACATGGTTGGAAGCTCTCAACCTTCTCAAAATACTATTTTTGTTCAGGAAAAGATACTATTAAAATTGTTGGCGGGTCAGAAAGTTCTATTGCTAGTCAAGGGTCTGTTGTTTTAACAACAGACCTAACTCTGAAATCTATGTTATATGTACCTCTGTTGAAAGGTAACATTTTATTTGTCAGTAAGCTGACGTATGAGATTGACTGCGTAACTCTTTTTTCCTCTGATTTTTGTGTCTTTTAGGATTATTTTCGGGGAGGATGGTTGGAATTGCAAAGCGGGTTGGCGGGCTCTACTTCTTCCAAGAGAAAAACACAAAAAATGACACTCCACACAATAACTATAGTTTTCTCAGTGTACTTATTGTCATATTATGTTGTTATACTGTCGTTTTGGTCATCATAGTTTCCATTATCTAAACCAATAGTATCCGTTGATGTCTACTAATAAAAATCTTTCCAATTTCAAATGTGAAATCTGTCAGTTAGCTAAACATCATCGTGTCACTTATCCACCCCACAATTACACACCTTTCGCTTCTTTCTCTCTTATTCATAGTGACTTTTGGGGACCCTCTCACCCCTAGCTACAGTAATAAATGATGGTTTTTTACTTGAATTGATGACCACACTCGGATGATTTGGGTTTATATTTTAAAAATTTAATCTGAAGCTGTTGTCACTGTCAATAACTTCCACACCTTCATTTTGACCAATTTCAAAACTGTTATTCAAATCCTTAGGACTGATAATGGTCGTGAATTTTATAACTCTATATTAGGTGAATTCCTGATTAGTAAGGACATCTCCATCATAGCTCTTCTCCCAACACTCATCAACAAAATAGGGTTGGCGAGACAAAAAAAAATCGGCATCTCGACGTCTCACGCTCCATTATGTTTCACTCTAATGTCCCATAACGTTTCTAGAATGATGTCATTCTTACCATCACTTATCTCATAAATAGAGTCCCCTAAAAAATTCACAACTTCGTCTTGAAATTGTTCTCCACTTTAGAGCCCAAAATTTTTGGGTGCACAGTCTTTGTTCGGAACACAACCCAAAATCAGTGTAAACTTGATCCCAGGTTCATAAAATGTGTTTTTCTAAGATATTCTGCCACTCAAAAGTTGTACAAGTGTTTTGACTCTACCACAAATAAAGTTATGTGAGTGTTGATGTTTCTTTTTTTGAAAGTATTCCCTATTTTCCTAGCTCGACCTCACATGAGATGGAGCTAGAGTTTTTGGATATTGTTTCTTACCCTACTTAAGTGGATGTTCCCCCCGCGTCACTTACCATCGAGGAAACTTTGGTTTCTTTTATTCCACCCATCTCTCCTACCAACAAAGAGCCATATATCCCTCTAATTCCACTTGCACATCAAAGATTCATTAAGAAGTTGCTTGATCATCTCAGGGCATTTGTCTATCTCAGCGGAAATGTCATTGACCTTTAGACAAAGAACAACCTTATTATGTGCAAACTAGTAGCTATTTTGATGGATCTAAATGAAAAACTTCTTGATATTCTCAAGGCAGCTTATGTATACAAGAAGCGCTAGCAGCGCCTTGTGGGGAAACTCATATATCTTGCCCCTAAACGTCTTGATATTCTCGTGCATGACCCCTATGAGCACCCTCTTCAAGCTGTCCACTGGATTCTCCACTATTTAAAATGCACATTGGACTCATATTTGTATTTTTCCCGCAACACCTTTCACAATATTGCTTTTTTCACACATGCTAATTGGGCTGAATTCGTCCATAATGGGCGATCTATCTTGGGGTACTGCTCATTTGTGTGGGAAACTTGGTCATGTGAAAAAACAAAAGACTGTGGTTGTCTGTTGCAGTGCTGAAGCAGAATTTCTATTCATGTTACTAGAAATTTGTGAGGCTCTCTGATTACGCATCATGCTTCGAAAACTGTGTATGCCCGTCTTTGTTCCCCTACAGTTGTTTTGTGATAACAAGGTAGCCATTAGCATTGCTCACAATGCGGTACATCATGATCGCACCAAGCACGTTGAGATTGATCGACACGGAAAAACTGGAGTCTGGGGAAATTTATGTTCCGTTTGTGTCATCCAAAAGTCAACTGATAAATATCCTCACAAAGAACTTTTCTCGGTCACTATTTGATGATTTCAAGTCCAAGTTGGATATGATTGACATCTATACTTTATCTTGAGGGGGAAAATTAGAATATTTTAATGACTAGTAATTGTTATTATTTAACTATGATTATTTTGAGTTATTTCTTTTGATTTTCTTCCCTTTTTATTATATTCAATTTAATTTTTTTTTCTTTCTATTATATCGGGAGTATTAACGCACGCGCGTGCATATATATATATATATATATATTATCTCCAGTGAACTGCACGTCCAAACAATAGTGATTATCTGGCCACATCATTTTGCATTTCACGAGGCTGGATCGTCGCCGGTGTTCGGGCGTGCGGACACCGGACATAATAATTCTCGATCGAGGCAGTTTAATTTTAATGCTTTTTAAATCTGCTCTGTAGGCTACTCCGGTGCAGCTTAATGGGAGGATGATTCATGTAGAGGGCAGGAGACCTAACAGTGGTGCATCACGAGGTGGAAGTAAGCTCAATAATCTCATAGAATTTTAGGAAGATTTACGTACATACAATTCAATTATTATGTATTTACATATATAACACCTAAATTTCAATTTTTACATGCATGCCACTTTACCTATGCCTGACAAGTCGTATTTCACTTTTTACAAGTTAAAGCGGTGGTATTTTTTATGTGATGAATCATTTGGGTGGTATAAATGTAAAAAAGTTTGGGTGTTAGATATTTAAATACATAGGTATTGTGTGGTATGTATGTAATTGCCCCTAAATTTTACTATTTCCATATATATATATATATATATATTGAAGATTTACAATTATACCACTGAATTCTTATTTATCTTAACACCTAAGCTTCAATTTTTACATACATGCCACCTTACTTGTGCATGAAAAAGGTGTATTTCACTCTGTTAAAGTGGTGCAATTTTTTATGTGATGAAAGATTTAGGAGATAAAAATATTAAAAAAGAAATGAAGTTTAGGTGTTAGATTTGTGAGTACATATAAGCATTTGGGAGTTATATGCATATGTATTTGTGTTTGTGTGAACCTACATTTTACCATTTACACCTGTTTTTTAAATTTTCATCATCATTTCAGTTTAAAATGTTTTCCAAGCAACTTTTTTTCGTTCCTTTTGCCTCCCTTGAATGCTTAATAGGAAAGGGTAGAGGGAGGGGCGGCTACTATTTGGAGCCCCCGAGGGGCCGTTTTGGCGGCCGCTCATTTGGCGGCAGGTTCGGCGGCCTCGACAGACCGAGAGGCAACGGGTACATCCCACGGTTGCCTCGCCAAGAAAGAGGTATATTGGGAAGTCACTTTTCCAAGAACGGTGGCAACCAATCCGAGGCTTTAGCTTCCTGACATCTTCTCTTTTAATGGCTAAACGGCGACACGGCGGAGACGACGAGACGACGCCGCCGCCCGCCGGCCCGCCCGCCGTCGAGAGTCTCCCTCATTTGGTGAAACAAAAGGGGACATCAATGTCTCCGCCAAAGTCTGAGCTTTTTCAGGTTGGTTGGATTATTTGTTCTAAAGATTTATGTTGTTTATGATGGGTGTATTATTTGTCATCTATATCTGAAGACTGTAGTTGTGGGTTAGTTTTGGGTTTTTATTTTGTTCCTTTTTTTTTTTTTTTTCTTTTTTACCATATTGAATAAGAATGTTTTTAATTGTTTACAGGGAATGAATAATGTTATATTTATAATGATTTATTAGTGAATCATGCCATTTGGTTTTTTGATGATTATACTAATGATTTATTAGTGAATCATGCCATTTGGTTTTTGGATGATTATACACAGAGCACACGAAAATATCAGGTGATATATTTGAACTATCAAACCAACGTGCCGACACAATTAAAGCATTGAGAATTTGATAAAAGACGAAAAAATATGGGTCGAGGTTTTATGAGGAATTTTGATATTTGAGTGAATACTTTGGGTTGGTAGATTTGTAAATAATAATGTTTCAGCTGCTATGAATGTAATTACAACTTTTTTATCTTGTTATTTAATTTTCTATGTATAAATATATGCGTATCATTCAATTCATGTGTATTAACATATAAATCACCTAAACTTCATTTTCTATGTATAGGCGGCATGGCTTGGGTTGTATCTAGATGAAAATTGAAGTCTACGTGATTGATATGTAATGGCATATAGGGTACTTATGTAATAATAAAAAAAGAATTTTCTTATAAATATATGATTATAAGGAGGCATATACATATATATATCACTCAATTCTTATGTATTTTCTTTCTATAATTGAGTTGTATGTATGAGAAGCGTCGTAAATGAGCCGAGCTTGAGTGAGCTTGGGCTTAGCTCGTAATTGACCCATTCAAAATTAATTGTGTTTGAAATTGTTGTGAACAGTGTGTTCGTTTGTTCTGACTCAAATTAATTAGTGAAATAGACATATGATGTTTAGACTCAAACCAGCATCCTCTCGTTGCAATACATAATACCAAAAAGAAAAACATGACCAAGAATGGAGTTGATTTTAATTTATATATAAATATACGTGCTGTGTTATTATACAAATAAGATATAAAAATTTTGAATTTTGAGATAGAAATAGTCGAATATAATAAATAAAGGATTGTTCGTGTTCGACTCATTTAAAATTTGAGTTTAAAATTTTTTTTCGTGTATGACTCGCTTACTTAACTAATGATTCAAACACGAGCTACTTATCAAGTGTAACATGACCTGTTCGCAAACTATTAATTCTTTTGACAGCTCTAATACATGACCATATATAAATGACAGGCTAAAGCTCGATCTAAATAAAAACAATTTATAATATAACTAATTCTAATCAATAAATGTAAACAAGTATAAATTTTACAAACTGTTTATTCTAGTCCTATAAAATTGTTCCCAATGCAAGCGCATGCCCTCCCCCCCACGCACAAGTCCTAAAACACCAATGCCGGCGACCGCCGCCGCCGTGCCGGACCCTGCTCGCCTTCACGCCCAGCTAATCAAATCCAGCAGCGCCACCACCTCCTCCGCCTCCGCTAGATTCCAATACAACCAACTAATCTCCCTCTACTCTCGTTCCCCTTCCCCCATCCCCGACGCCCTCCATCTCTTCCACCGCCTCCCCGTCACCCCCAACTCCGCATCATGGACATCCGCCATCTCCTCCCTCTCCGGCGACCCTCTATCCGCCGCTTCCCTCTTCCTCTCCATGCTCCGCCGCCCCTCCCTCCCCACCCAATCCACCATCTCCTCACTCCTCAAAATCCTCTCTTCCTCCTCCCTCCACCTCCCCCTCGGCCTCCAGCTCCACTCCCTCTCCCTCAAGCTCTCGCTCTCCTCCCTCCCCTTCTCCGCCAGCTCTCTCATCAGCTTCTACTCCAAACACCGCCTCCCCACCCACGCACTCAAGGCGTTCGACGAAATCGTCCACCCGGACCACGTCTGCTTCTCCGCCATCATCGCCGCCCTCGCCCACAACCACCGCTCCGCCCAATCCCTCTCCTTTTTCCACCAAATGCACTGCCGCGGCCTCCCCTCCACCATCTACAGCATCTCCTCCGCCGTCCGCGCCGCCGCTGACTCCGCCTCCCTCGATCAAACCCGCATCTTCCACTCCCACTCCGTGGTCTCCGGCCTCCACCCCAATCCCATCGTCGGCACCGCTTTGCTCGCCGCCTACGGTAAATCCGGCGTCGTTCCCGACGCCCGCCGATCATTCGACGAACTACACTTCGCCGGAAAAGCTAACCTCGTCTCATGGAACGCGTTGCTCTCCACCTACGCCCAGCAAGGCGATGCGGCCTGCGCCCAGCAACTGTTCGACGAAATGCTGCGACGAGATCTCCTTCCCGACGACTACACTTTCCTCGCCATACTCGCCGCTTACAGCAACTCCGGCATGGTGGAAGAAACGGAGAGGTGGCTGAACGCGATGCGTGCGCTTTACAGCGTGGAGCCAAAGCTGGAGCACTATTCCTGCTTGCTGGGAGCCATGGCGCGTGCCGGGCGGCTCGATGAAGCCGAGCGATTCGCTCACGCAATGCCATTCGAGCCCGACGCCGCAGTGTGGCGGACAATCCTCTCCGCCTGTATGGCTCACCGGAACGCCGACGTCGGCCGGAGAGCGGCGGCGCGACTCCTGGAGTTGGATCCGCGAGATGATTCTGCATACGTTATGCTCGCCAAAATCTATTCTTTTCTAGGGAGGAAGGAGGAGATGGCGAAGCTTTGGATGGGGATGAGGGATCAGGGTGTGAGGAAGGAGGGAGGGAGGAGCTGGATTGAGGTCGCCGGCGGGGTGCACGTTTTCATCGCCGGCGATCGCCGGCATGAGAGGTCGTCGGAGATATATGGGAAAGTGAGGGAATTGGAGAGGGAAACAGGAAAATTGGGGTACGAGGAGAAGGGAGGGGAGGGGGTTTGGGAGCACAGTGAGAGGTTGGCGGTGGCCATGGGGCTGCTTGGCGGCGGTGGAGGCACGGCGGCGGAGGGGAGGCCGGCGTTGAGGGTGATAAAGAATTTGAGGATTTGTGGGGACTGCCATGAATTCTTCAAGTATGTGAGTAGAGCGGTGGGGATGGAGATTGTGGTGAGGGATGTGAACAGGTATCATAGGTTTTATGAGGGGGTTTGCAGCTGCAAGGATTGTTGGTGAAATAAGTAAATTTAATTTATGGGAAATTTACATATATACCGCACAATTCTTATGTATTTTACACAGCCAACACCTAAAATTTGATATTTGGACTTGCAACACTTTGTTTTGCCATGAAACCATGCATAAAAATGTCTATGTAATGTTGTAAATTTGAATGGTATGAATGTAAAAACTAAATGTTGAGGTGCTAGATATGTAAATTTCGAGTTGGGAAACAAAAAAAAAAAAAAAAAAAAAAAAATTTGCCTTTTGATGCAAATATTCCACATTATAAAATTGAAAAGATAAATTTAAATAAATAAGAAATTTTCTTAAGATATTCTAAATTCTAACAGAGCAACAATCATCATATCTAAAATCATTATAAATAAAAGTGTATTTGGTAGAACAAAAGATTGGAGTGAAAAATATAAATGATGGATTTTTTACATACATATCACACAATCTGCTGCAGAAATCTTCGATCCTCCATATAATTCCTATTAGTTTATATATTGAGCGCAAAAAGTGTGTTTGTGTTCGGCTCGTTTGTTTAATGAGTCGAACACTTAGTGAGCTGAATACGAGTTGTTCGCAAACGAGCCATTTTGACATTCCTAGTCACGCGCCATAAGACAATAAGAGTTTGAGCAAAATTTAAATATTATTATTTATATTTATATCATGTAGCCATAAGACAATAAGAATTTGAGCAAAATTTAAAAATTATTATTTATATTAAAACATCATTTGAATCTAATTTAATAATTTTTATTCTATTTTCTTAATCAATATTTTAATTGATTATAAATCTTTGTAGTCTTGTAGTCAATTAAATACTACTTTATATATATAAACTTGATGAGTATTATTTCGAGCCAAAACGAGCCGAACATGAAAAAACACATCTTAGTTCGTGTTCGGCTCGTTATCTTATCGAACAAAATTAACAAACCGAACACGAGCTTCTTAATGAGCCGAACATGAGTGATTTGTTCGCGAACAACGAGCCGTTTTGACAGCCCTACACACAATTCCTATGTATTTACACATCCAACACTTTAATTTTTTAAGTATACGTACCATCCTCATATGAAAGAAAAAAGTGCGCTTTCAATTTCTAAAAATAAAAAAATTAATTTTCCCAATAAACCAAATAGCCCCTGAGCACATTTTATAGGCAATCTCTGAATCTATTTCACTAAAAGTTCAAATAAAAAAATATATATATATGTATATATATGTATATATGTGTATATATGTGTATATGTGTATATGTGTGTGTATATGTGTATATGTGTGTGTATATGTGTATATGTGTGTGTGTATGTGTATATGTGTGTGTATGTGTATATGTGTGTGTATATGTATATGTGTGTGTGTATATGTATATATGTGTGTATATGTATATATGTGTGTATATGTATATATGTGTGTATATGTATATATGTGTGTATATGTATATAAAAGAACCCCCCTTTTTTTTCCTTTATTTTTCTTTCCCATCCCCAAAGGAGTAAAACAAAAAAAAAAAAAAAAATTTAATTTTTTTTTGTTCTACATCTACCGTCAGATCATGACATTAAAATACAGGATCTACAAATTAGCTAAACTTTTATACAAAATTACAGTTCTCACCTCATCTCCGAAAGAACCAAGCTTTAGAGAGCAGGCCCTGAAATTTTAGAGTTCTTCGGTTTGGCGGCAGAATGGTAAGGATGCAAGAACTAGAATTTGTTTTAAATTTCTGTGAAGTCCAGAATGGAAGAGACGGCTTCGGGAGGCGTTGATCGAAGGGCTTCCGAAATCCTTAGAGCCATCAAGGATTTATAGGCTGCGAGATCAGCATTTTCCATCAGGAGTTCGGCTCGTCGGCGCAACGGGATGGCGAGTTCGACGGAGCGGCACCAAGCTTTTTCAGCTTCATGGAGTTTGTGGAGGGCCTCTGCTCTGGCCTCATCTTTGGCCTTGGCTGGAGAAGAGAGAGATAGATTGATTAGCTCAGCTGTTATGTTTCCATAGAAATTCTGTTTAAATTTCATACCAACCAAATCATTTTTTGCTTTTTACATTTATACCATCCAAATCTTTGCTATCATATCAAATATATCACTATTTAAACCTAAAAGAAAAAAAGGTGAAGTACATCTTATGCATGGGTGAGTTGTAATGTGTGTAAAAATTGAAGTTTAGGTTAGATGTGTAAATACTTAGGAAATGAATGGTAATGTATGTAACTCTTCATGAATTTTGAGTTATTTATTTCACTATTTTCACAAATCATGAACAATTCAAGTCATTATAATATGAATGAAGAAAAATGTTATTTGATTTGTATTTAATCATATGAATGAAGAAAAATGTTATTTGATTTGTATTTGATCAGATCAAAGATTAAAATAATGTAAATAAATGAAAGAAAAATGATATTATTTCTATCAATGGGACTTCTGCCTCACATCCAACTCTTCATAAATGATGAACAGACGTTGCTTCAAAGTTGTTCATAAATGATGAACAGACGGTGCTTCAAAGTTGTAGACATAGAAAAAGGAAATAGAAAAGTGGAGCATATACATACATACCACCCAATTCCTATGTATTTACGTATCGAACACCTATTTACATACATACCACCCAATTCCTAGGTATTTACGTATCGAACACCTATTTGATCCACTTTTTTTTTTACCTTTTAATCATTTCATGTTATTCATGCATTGGAAAAATGGTATATATATTTAAAAATTGAACTTTGGGTGGTTAGATATGCAAATACATAGGAATTGAGTGGTATGTATGTGAATCTCCCTAGAAAATAATCAGATCTTGTTCAAAGGAAATAAGCTCAGCGGGCAAATAAAAGAATGCCTAAAAAAAATAATTACAAAATAAATTTTAATTAATTTTGGTTACATTTAAAAAAAAAATGAAAATAAGCTCAACCGAATGCCAATGCATTCAAGTAAATAATTACACTTAAGATAGAGTTAAAGGCTACATTAAAATTGAGTATCAAGGCACAATTACAAAATGAGCTTCTACATTTATTAATATTTAAGACTAGTTTACTTGAATTGAATGATTTAGAAAACCAAGAAAAAAATAGGAAGATTTACATACATACCACTCCATTCCCATAAATTTATATATCAAACAACTACACTTCAATTTTTAAATCATTAAAAGGTGCATTTCCCATTTTAAAAATTAAAATGGTGGTATTTTTTTTATGTGATGTGAAAACTTTTTTGTCAAAAAGTAAAGGTTAGGTGTTTGATAATGTAAATACATAGGAATTGGCTGGTATGTATCTAAATGGCCCTAAATAATAATAAGAGCATAACCTCTTTTGAAGCAAAAATGTCAAATGCATAATTGAGGACAATCAAAATGAAACAGAAAAGGTCATACAACCAAGCCGGCTAAAATGATCCCCCCTCGTTTCAAATCTAACTAAGCAACTCACAGGAGAACTTAAACAAAATGGCTTTGCAAGATCAGAATAAAAAAATAGGGACATTTACAAGCATACCATCCAAGTCCTATGCATTTACTTTCCTAACATCTAAACTCTATTTTTTACATTTATACTACTAAAATCTTTCATATCGCATAAAAGATACAACTATCATAACTTTTAAAAAGTGAAATGTGCATTTTCATGCATATGGAACATGGCATGTAAGTAAAAATTAAAGTTTTGGTCTTAGATGTGTAAATATAGAATTAAATGGTATGTATGTAAATATTCCTAAAAACAAAATCAAATCAAAAAATAGGAAAAATGATGCCACTAGGAGAGTTTATGTAGATTGAATTCCAGTAAAAAATTACACCCAAAAAACAAAAAAGTAAAAACAGCAATTCGAGACACCCACTTCAGCTTCGTTCTTTGAAGATGATGCGCATCTCTAATAATTTCTTTGATGCAAACAAAATAAATAAAAACATATACACGTGTGATCCAAAAAACAGCACATTATTTATTGTTTGGATTGTGTGATGTAGGTTTGAACCTGTACCAGTTAGCCAGTAACAGTTAAAAGACTTGTTTAAATCAGCTCTGACAAGAAATTTAGATGGAAACAATGACCAATCTGATATGCATAGTTCTAATAAATGACAAACATTTTAATGTGATATCAAACTATTAAACTCTTCATTTATCACGGGCTTACTAAAGTTCAGCAACAACTTGTTCAAATTTCAATTAGAACGGAATCGGTTAAAAACATCTAATTTGAATGCCCAATGTTCAGCTGCCTCTTAATTCGTTTAGCAGCAAGTAAAAGGGGAAGTCATAAATCAGCATGTAAGAAGATGACAGTTGCTGAAACGAAAATATCGAAGATTCATATAAATACCAGTCAATTCCTATTTATTGACATATCTAACACCTAAACTTCAATTTTTACATATATACTATCTTACCCATGCATGAAAAGGAGATTTCATTTTTTAAAACTTTGAATTTATGGCAAGATATGCTGGCATTAAACATCAAATAAAAGAAAAAAAACTAGCGAGAAACACATACAATCAAACCCGAAGGCAGGCTTTCCTCGCCCAATTTGACTTCGTATTCTTTTAAAAGATCTCCTCTTTCGAAGAACTTGTCTTTGCATCAATTGTGGTTTTCTCAGAGATAAACCCTGCTTATAAGAAAATTTACGTTATATTTTGATTGACAGACTGCCAAAAGAGAAGCATTAATTATAAAGACTGGCAAAAGAGAAGCATTAAGTATAAAAAGGTCGTTCCAGACAAAAAAAAAGAAGGGACTTTCACTGAAACAGGGTTTAATTAAGAAGGGCATCTACATAAATACCCCCACAATTCTTATATATTTACATATCTGGCACCTAAAAGATCATATTTACATGCACACCATTCAACATCACATAAAAAATAACACCATCACTATCTTTTAAAGGTGAAATACACCTTTTTATGTATAGGTTTATGAAACCAAGTTGTTACGAGAGTAAATATCGAACTTTGGGTGTTGGATTTGTAGATGCATTAGTATGGTGTGGTATGTATGTAAAATTCCATTCGTTTAATGGAACAGGACAAAAAAACAAAACTCATGTAACTGCATGTTGAAAGTAGTGTGGAAAACAGGAGACACTTGGGAGGAGTGCATACTCAGCAAAAGCATCTCCAACAATTCTGAGCGAGAAAAAAGGGCCCTTATCAGAATAAGCTACTAAACAGTCTTTCTTAACAATACGTAGTTTTCTTCATATAATCTAGGGACATTTACATACATAGTTTATGATTCTTATGTATTTACATATAGCACACCTAAAGTTTAATATTTCCACACATTAGCACTTATTATCATATAAAAAAAGCACTATTATCACTTTTTTTAAATGAAACACACACTAATTTCATGCATAAATTTAAAGCACCAGAGTTATTAAAAAAAACGCAAACTAGTTTTTGCAAATTGAGCAGCCTAAGTACTGTGAACCATCAAATGATAATTTAAATAGCTAATTCCAAACTAGCTACAAAAATATCAATCTTAAATGACGGTGGCAGTCCTTTTGGGGAGTTCTGAGAGAACTGGAATCAATTCCTGGTAATCATTGAATGTCATGTTTGTTAATCGGGAAAAGCTTGCCATAGAGCAGTACTCAATGCAAGGGAGTGCAATAGTTAAAAGTGAAACTCATAATAATAATAAATAAATATTAATAATTCAACGGCATAAGAAAGCATGTCCTATAAACAAAGAAGATCACAAAATTAAGAAGAGAGGATTTGTTCAGCATATAAGACCATTAGATGTCACAATTCAAATCAAACAAACTTTATCTACAATAATAAAACTCAATAAATGCAACATCAGCTGCCGAAATTTGCATGAAACATTTTTCCATGTGATATCAACCAAAAATTACTCACATTTTGAAGAAATTAAACATTGAAAGAAAGATCAAAGAAAAAGAAGGGAAAATGGTTCTAGTTGGAGGAAATAAAAAATAAGAAATGCCAAACTGTAGAATAAGAAAATACATAAAACTTGCCCATCATGCTCTTTCAATAGTTTAATGAAGAAAAACAGGAAAAATATATGCAGAAATTTTTCACTTTGCTGGAGATGCCAAGCTATAGAATATGAAGTTGATTAATCACCAATTAACGTTAGTTTCATGCACAGGTTGTAACTACACCAAAAAAACACCTGCATTTCTTGCAGTAGAAATATAGATTGCAATAAATTGAAGTAATGCGCACACTATTTCTTTGTCTTTAAAGATTTTACATGCAACAGTCAATTACAGATCAAAAAAATTTGTAATGCCGTATAGTTTAGAATTGACTTCTCGGAACAATTTTTAACATAGCTCTACAATGAGATGCTTTCTTATAACAGCAGAATGAAGATCATGTTCTGTATTTTACAATTTTAAGGCATAGGCATCATATTACAACCAAAGCAAGCCAATAAGTGGAATAAGAATCCGTATTTCTTCTGCGTCCATCAGTATAACTCAATCGGCAAGTTTACCTTATTAAATTGGACAAGAAAAAAAAAACAGAACAATACCACACCATTAAACAAAAGGAACAACAACACAAGCAATACAAATTATCATAAATTTCCCCTTGGAACCATTCAAAACAGGAAAAAAATTGCACTGCTCGGTGAAATGGGCATTTTAAGAATCATCTATCCAAACAACAAAGCTTATGCTGCACCAAAAAAAAAAAAAAGAAAGATGATTTACATACATACCACCCAATTCTTATGCATTAACATATCTAACACTAACTTTAATTTTTACGTTTATACCACAAATCTTTCAGATCACATTAGGAAAATACCACTCTTTTAACTTTTAAAAAGTTGAATAAAACTTTTCATGGATGGAGTTAGATATCCAAATGCATAGGATAGAAGTGTTATGTATGTAAATCTTCTCCCAAAAAAAAAAAAAAAAAGTGGGTGAAGTAAAAAAAGATTACAGGGAATCATTAGCAGCGGCGTCTATGAATTATAACAGCTTGAGTTTCATTGGCAGCCCCAATTCATCCCACAAATTATAGGAAATGAAAGGAGATAGGTGTGTGCGGGTGCCAGCATAATAAACTAAAATTTTTATGGGTATGCTTTGCTAAATAAGCTAATTAAAATAACAAGGCATGCAATAATTTATCAATCTGGTTGTATGAATAAAAAATAACTTGCAAAACTCCACAAAATTACAATTTGCATGCAAGAAGCAGTACAACTATGAAAATATATGAAAGTGAGGGATAAAAGATCAATTGGAACGCTTCTAACTTTCAGATAGCAGATGAACCATTATGCAAACAATACACTGAATATTTAAAGACATTTTTGGGGTAAACAAAATCATGCACATCATTATTACCTGGAAAACCCTGACCAAAGGAGCACGCTTTTGTTTCCTCTTCTTCAACCAGTAATCATAGACACCCGCTACCATATCTTTAGAACCTAATTCTTCATGATTAATTGGTTCACTTTCAAAAGATATTACATTAGAACTATAATATGCATTCTTTTCAAATGTGAATATCAATCTTTCAAACGTGTCCTCCATTAGACAAGATGAGGGACCATTCTGTAAAATAGAGTTATTAGACTTGTGCTGCTTCAACCACTCCTCATCTCCTGAATCCATATCGTAATAGGGAACTTCACTCACTGTAGCTCGTAAAATTTCATCATCATGTTTCATTCGGATATACTGCTCGGGTCGCTCAAAAATCGATACAGTATCATCCTCATAAGCAGGAATATCCATAAACACTGGCACAGGTATAAATTTTACAGAAAGATCTTCTTTTGGGACGTTATTGCGCTGGCGACACTCTGCATGCAGCTCCTTAAAAGTCAGCCAGTCCCACTTTTCACAAAACTCAAGTCTCCAGCCATCCTCACCAATCCACATATATGCATGATTAAAACGGTTTAGAGTATACTTCATATCTTGAGGTCTGTGAAGGTACCTTAAATTGTTTCCAATCTTCACTGCCAAGCACCACTCACCTGAACCAGACAATTCCAATAAAACTTCAGCTCCTTCTTCTCTCCAGCATCTATCACCAGCAGTGAACAAGATATTTGCTTTGCATTGAATTGAATCGATGTTCTGCTTAATATCAGAAAGTGCAGCCTTTATCTCTTTCATCTGCTCACCATGGTTCCTTTTACCAACTTCCAAAAGTTTTGATTGAGATGAAGTAGGGCTGAGCTTATCAATAGAAGAAACAAATGGCCCATCTAAAGGTTCAACATGACTCACATGGAGAGGATCCGCCAAAGTTTGAGCACCGTTCTCACTAGAGCTCAATATACTAAGGCAGTCCACTGAAGAAAATTTGTGAATTCTTGATTGTCTAAAAAAGCTTCTCCTCCTATGGAGTTTCCTTAACTTAGAAGCATGCATACTTTGTGCAACAACTGCAGAAGTTGCCGCAGCACTGGGTAAGTTCCTATTGACGGCAGGAATTGCAGAAACAGAGGGCGAAGTTCCCGAAAAATCGGTCTCCGAATGAACATGAAAAACACCAGCATGGCCGTGAATATCCAGCCTTTGTTTCTTGTTCAAGTCCGTGAGATATGTTGAAAGAGCAGGAGAGAGATGTTGGGAACGAAGAAGAAACTCCAAATGCAAGCTTGTAAAATAGGAAGGAAGTGCAAGAAAATTTAGAGACATCAGGGGAAGAGATTCCCTTGCGCTGTAAAGCTTGCAGATCCCAAAATTAGAAATAGAACTCCCAAGAAGAAATTTCTGAGGAAAAACAGAGATAAATCATTAGGAATTAGATAATAAGGTGGTAGAACTAAGGGAAAGAACTAATTAAGCATAAAGGTGAAGTTTGTAGATGATGAAATCTTACACTATTACGATCCGCAAGAGGCAAGAAATGGATGCCATTACGTGAAAAAGTACTGCAAATCGGTTCAGATAGAAGAAATGCAGTAAGGTAGCGTAGACTCACCCTTGTCTTCCTCATCCAGCTGATTACAGAAATAAGAAATTTCCGAAACCTAAGTAAAATGTCATTAGACGAAGATTCTAAAAGCACAACTAGCACTAAGTGTTCACTAAAACTAGTCCAAAGTTTACAATCACTAATGTCGATGGTGTGCAGGTTCGTCCTGTTGAACTTTCCGACCTGAAGACGATCATGTATCACTCCAGCTCTGAATAAATATTCACTCTCTCCAACCTGACCACCTCTTACTTCACCAAAACCATTCCTCACCTCTAGTTTCTTCTTCTTCCGTTTTCTAGAAAACACAAACCTGTATCGTGGATCGCTGGCTTCCGCTCCACCATCTGAAGGAGATGAGTCCAAACCAATCCACCCAACGGACGGAATTCTCTGGCGCTTTCGGCTATAAACATTCTCAAATTTCTTTCCGAGCTCCTGGAACACCGGCGCACCCACTTCATTCCCATCTAACTCGTGCTCAATCCCCGCACCCAACCTACTCTCCGTTTTTTCCCCACTTTCCAACAATCTTATATCATTCAATTTGCCAGAATCGTAGTCTCTAGCCTTCTTCACAGGCTCAGAAAGATGGAGGGGCTTCCCTGACCGGAGAACTCTCGTGTAATAACTTCCTTTCCAGGGCCGCTTGTCCGTTATTGCCTTTCTGGGCACAAAAACCCTCGTCGATGATTTCCTTGCGACCGTCAGCATCGCCGCAGTCGGCGTCTGCAAGGGAAAAACTCTCGACGCAATTTCCGCCGCCGCCTCTGCCGATACCGCACCCTCCTCTTCCTCACCGCGTTTCCTAACGATCCGCCGCCTCTCATAAGTCATATGCTGCTTCATCGCTCAAAGGCATCATCTCTACGGCATAGAACAGCCGGAAGCAAAAAAACAAAAAGCAAGAAAGAAACAACCAAAGGCCGCTACAAAGTAACAAGGTGAATGGAATAAAAACACAAGAGAATCAAAACATGTGTTATTATTTAAGCTCATAGATCCAGAGCACGGAGAACCGAGAGGAGGCGACGGGGTTGGATCCAGCGATGGGTGTGAGATGAAATCATGGAGGTGGAAAGGACCATGAAGAGCCGCCTCGAAGAAGAAGCAAATGGAAGTTCGATGCGAAGGTGGAGAAGATGATGGAGGATGTGCGGCCCGGTGGAGGCGGCGAAGCGGCGGGTGTTTTAAAGGAGTAGAAATTTCGAGAGTAGGGTTTTGCATTTTGGATTCCGTATTTAAAAAAAGGATGGTTATTATGAGAAATTAGGGTTAAAAGAGGGTTGAAGAGGGACTCGAATATTTTTTATTTTTTATTTTTTTGGGTTGGGTAAATAAAATATATATATAGACACATATTAAATATTTAATTAATGAGAATAATTTGAATCATATTGATATTTATTAGTGCATTTCTCAAGAATACTCATTAACCAAAGTTAGGATTCATCATTATTTAATATTAAAGCACTAATTGTAGACATAGTAGGGGAAATTTAATTTTTGTTGTGTTATAAATATTGTGGTTTTATTCAATTGCATAAAAACAATTATCTATAATGCTATAATTATTATGATTGTATTTAATTGTACAAAGCTTTTTTTCTTTACATTTGTATCGAACACTTTTTATGTGATATAATGCTATAATTATTATGATTGTATTTAATTGTAGAAAGCTTTTTTTCTTTACATTTGTATTGAACACTTTGATTGTGATATGCTCAAACTAATGCGCTTGTACTTATTATATGAATTCTTTAATTTAATATAATTGATATGTAGCCAACAAAATTTTAATACGTGCATGAATCTCAAGGCATCACATGAATCTCGAGGCAACAAGTCGAGTAAAGAATATTCAAATTTTGATTAAAAGTCAATCAGAGCTACAATTTCAGCAAAATTACAATCAAATTAACCGACTTAATGAAGCGGATCCAATGATACCAAAATTGATCCAATCTGAGTCAAATCAAACTCAGATCAAATCATTAAGCCACAAATGAAAGCTTTATGTCCATATTTGGAAGGTTTAACAAATGTCGAATCTGATAAGATTATGGTCAAATCGAGCATCTTCGTGAGACAAATCAAAAGAGCCCAAGATCAGTCAATTTTGACATCATTAAGGAACTCGAATATCCATCAAATGCGAAACAAGATGTTGTAACTGTAATCATCTTTTTATAGTGGAACTCTTCAGCTGAGTCAGAACTCGTAGTATTTTCCTTTTCTGAGTTTTCTACGTAAAAACTCCTAGTGTCATTATTAGTTGCTTTTTCTTTTTTTAGTATGCGCTGAATATTCGTACCAAGCTAAAATGATAATCTATTACCCTGATACCGCAAATTTTCTAATATGCACCAATAATGATTGCCACTTCATAGTGTCATAGATGTTGTGATGACACTCTTTATTATATCAACTAATATATACTCCATAATTGATTCACAATTAAATAATTTTGATAAGATGATTGAATACTAAGCAAATTATATATTATAAAACTAAAAAAAATGATGATTAAATGCTAAATAAATAACATTGAAATATCTTGGAACCATAAGTAAGAAATCATTGTAGCATGATTAAATCTCTTCGGACCTTCTTTGATTTGATCACATCTTATAAAAACCATCATTGAAATTTATTCAAATCCTATGTGATACTTATTTGAATTTAATTTGAACCTTTATAGAGTCATTTCAAATTATATTCAAACCTTATTTAAAGTATGTTTGAATCTATCTATCAATGATAGTCTGACATAACTTCAAATGGTGGCTTGAATAAAATTCAAATATTTTTAAAAATATTTTTAATTTTTTTAGAATACGATTTTAATTTTTTAGACTTTTATGTGGCTCTCATGGGACGAGATACATGATGAGAGATTTCATGGGATTGAAAATCCCAACCGTCTTTCTTAATAAAGGGCCCCGTCGGCTTCACTTGTCGAACTCACTTGTCGAAGTGACTTGTCGAGCTTGTTTGTGGAACTCACTTGCCGAAGTGACCTGCCACGTTTACTTGTCGAAGTAACTTGGGTCGTTCTCCATAATTGCTCTTAGAGAGTTACAAACCATAGATATGAAAAACATCACCTCATAACAGACATGCGTCAATGCTATATAAGAGTTGCATGACATCCATATCTCCCTCTTCTCAGGTTTTATAATGCACAATCCATATTTGTTGTTGCTTTTTCTCTCTCATTCGAGGGGATAAAGGAGAGGGACCTTGGGGAATAGAGATGTAAAATTCAGACGCCTCCCACTTTCGATAAGAGATATCTTCCTTTCTCTTCTCTTATAGTATATCTTACTAAAGCTAAGAAATAACTTTTCATTGAGAAATTTTAATTTCATTCAAAAGATTTTTCTTCTTTTTAAAATAAATATATATGAGCAAACAAAAGATCACCCTTTACACTAAGACCAAGTTCCTAATTATGATAGATTGATTCATCAAATTAATGATATTATCATATGACATGACATTCAAAGTTTGCTAATTCCTTCATTACAGAGTTCAATATATATACTCATGGCAACTACTTTGAAATAAATGAATGACACAAAAAATAAATATTCCTAAACGATTTAAATCTCAATTTTTTTATTAAAAAAGAATTTTTATAATATTCATAATAAATTAAAAATTTATTTGTGAAACCTTTTAATGATATTGAGTTGTTTTGAGTGAATCTTCCAACTCGACGAGGCAAGTGGATTGGCAAAGTCTGCGCACTATTTTAATTTTAATGATATTGAGTTGTTTTGAGTGAATCTTCCCACTCGACGAGGCAAGTGGATTGACAAAGTCTGCGCACTTCTTCAACCGAATGCGCGAAGAGTTTGTTATATCAGGCGCCAAAATAATTCTAGAGATTCGTAGTAAAACCTTGAATATAAACGAACAAAATAAAAAAAATCATAGAAAATACATAATAACATAAGCTTTAATGCAGAAAAACACGAGAATAGGAAAAAATCACGGAACCACACCACATTAAAAAATCCATTATGAAGAAAATGAAGAGAATCATACAAATTACAAAATACTGGGAAGAGTTTTGAGTATTATCAGTGAACATAACTTTAGCATAAGATTTTTTTGTTGAAATTTATGTTTTTTTATAAGAAATTTTCTTAAGAGTTTTGAGTATTATCAGTGAACATAACTTTAGTATAAGATTTTTTTGTTGAAATTTATGTTTTTTATAAGAAATTTTCTTTTTTTTTGGTGACTAGTTGGAGTCTTTTAATGTAATATAACTCAGCTATAAAAAAATTAAGTTATTTTGTTAAATTTGTGTTATCCTTCATTTGGGAACCATAACTATCTCACAACTAGTAGTCGTCATAATTTTTTAACTTTATGTAGACAGAGATCTCGTGTCACAACTAGTAGTCGTCATAATTTTTTAACTTTATCTAGACAGAGATCTCGTGGTCCTTTGTGAAACCTTTTAATGATATTGAGTTGTTTTGAGTGAATCTTCCCACTCGACGAGGCAAGTGGATTGACAAAGTCTGCGCACTTCTTCAACCGAATGCGCGAAGAGTTTGTTATATCAGGCGCCAAAATAATTCTAGAGATTCGTAGTAAAACCTTGAATATAAACGAACAAAATAAAAAAAATCATAGAAAATACATAATAACATAAGCTTTAATGCAGAAAAACACGAGAATAGGAAAAAATCACGGAACCACACCACATTAAAAAATCCATTATGAAGAAAATGAAGAGAATCATACAAATTACAAAATACTGGGAAGAGTTTTGAGTATTATCAGTGAACATAACTTTAGTATAAGATTTTTTTGTTGAAATTTATGTTTTTTATAAGAAATTTTCTTTTTTTTTGGTGACTAGTTGGAGTCTTTTAATGTAATATAACTCAGCTATAAAAAAATTAAGTTATTTTGTTAAATTTGTGTTATCCTTCATTTGGGAACCATAACTATCTCACAACTAGTAGTCGTCATAATTTTTTAACTTTATGTAGACAGAGATCTCGTGGTCCTTAATGCTATGTTAATTGGCTTCACATTTTATTTCGTTCGAGTTATATTTTAGAAGGAGCTTCTCTAAATTCTCCATAACATTCAATTTTTGAGCAAGCAGAGTTCAAAAATTATGGTTGTTTTCTTTTTGTTCTTATGAAACTTATAAGGGCAAATTTTTTTGATTTATCAATTAGATGAGTTGTCCGAGACATCAATATATTTTGGCATAAAAAATCACCAATGAAAAATAATAAAAATATAATAAAAAATAAAGAATAAATCAAGGATGGAAGATTAAATGTTAATGGTAAGAAAAAGAAATAGTTAAGGATAGAAAATATTATATCCTCTAATAAAGTTTCCTATAGTGTGGTCTTTGCTATTTTTTAGAAATCTCTATGCGTAACTTTAGATTTAATATATTGATCCATTTTTACCGCATCTTTCAGGATGTTCAACACAAATATATTTGTATTTTATGCACAAATTCTATTGGTATTGAGGAGAAAGAGAGAAAAAGGGAGAGAGGAGCTTGTGTGAAGATAGAGTCATCGTTTGTTTAAATAGTTGGCACCTCTTTTTAAATCTTAGGGTGACCTTTCACATTAGTAAGAGATTTGACAAGAAATAAATAAGAAGTACATAGAATTATACAAAGATACATCATGTCATGTGACATCATGTAGCTTTTATCACATCTTGCAGCTTTTTGCTATGTCATTCTCTATGGTTAAACGAAATGTGTCTGAAGTGCTAGAACTCAACACTATTGTATAATATGTGTACAATTACAAGTATAACAGTGTACAATATCGTTGTGCGCGAGTGCAGCTTGACCTACAAGTGAGTTAGATAGAGAGAGAGAGAGCAAACGAGAGAGAAGGGGGAGGAGAGAGAATGTAGAGAAGATAACATAGGAATTGATTTTAAGTTTTTCAACTTTTTGGCCAATGTTTAGTGTAGGTGAGAGGGGAAGAATTCACAATATTCAAAGAAGATGAGAAGATGGAGTGTAAGCCTCTTAAGGTTGTAGAATTTCAGTCTCAACAAGCATTAAAAAAAGTTCTTGCTACCCTATACTCTTCCCTTCTAGCAAAAACATATGGCTCAATGCCTTATTGTGCAGGCGATTATCTTAACTGATGAGAGAGGAGATGAGATCAAGATAGGAGGGGATTATACATTGGTTGCCTATTATTGGATAAATTATTATGTTTGATGTCTCTGGACATTGGC